TATAGAAAAAATTATATATATACTGTAGAGCGTCGTTTATCCGAAAGTCGGTTATCCAAAAGAATTCCAGTTGGCAAATTTAAATTTTCGCTAGTGCTGTGGCACTGCAATCTTTGGCTATGTCTTGGGCTACTCAAATATTTTCCTTTGTTGATACTAAATTAACTTCTGAAGTATAATATTTTTATTGTTTTTATATTTTTCAATATATTTATTTTGTTTGTACAAAATAAAAAAAATAATTTTTAATGATACAATAGTCTTCGTTAGGCTTAACAACGACGAAAATTCAACGCGAAGTGACACGCAACAGAGAAAAATTTCAACAGGGGATAGGTTAATATATTTTTTCGTAATATTCAATATTTTTGAATATTTTGAATTTATACTTGAATTTCATTGAATATCTGCCAATTTTAATCTTCCAAATGTATAGAATACTCTAACATTGTTAGCTGTATTAAAATTCTATGAAACCTTTGGAATTCTTTTTCTGCTCATATATATGAAGGGGGCTGATGAAGAGTCCAAAAGCATTTGTTTTTTATTTTTTTTAAGAAAATAATAAGTAGTATTAAAGCACTGGGTAATTTATTAGTTATCTCATTTCCAGTTTCTGTGAAAATTTTTGACATACTGGTTAACTTCTAACACAAAACTGGAGACATATTGGAGTACCCACAGACCTTCATGGCTTTCAGCAAACTTATGCTTTACCCTAGCATGGTGTGCATGCATGTGCAGTCAACAAATTTTTCACTATTAATAGGTGAAACTAAAAAGTAATTTCAAATTTTCCTAAAAATTACATACTACAAACCATACTCTAAAATAAAAATAAATGTATATAAACATAAAGTAAATACAATCTTTTAAAAAAACCATTGAAAATTATTGGCAAAGTGACAAACTTTATCATATTGAAACTCATTAGTACTTTTTAGTACTTCCTGTTTGTTTGTAATAAACTAGTTGCAATGCATTGCAACTAGTTTATTACAAACTTTAGCATTCATTCCATGCTAATTGTACTGTTTCAACTTATCTTTGTATTTTGGCTGTCTCTTGGTTAGTTTTCTCTTTATTTCGTCCCACAGATGTTCAATGGGATCTAGATCTGATGAGTGAACACACCAAAGTGATAATATTCTGAGATTTCAAATATTCTTTCACTGCCTTGGCTGCATGAATCAGATTATTGTTAAAACTTATGACTTACCAACCAATTAACTGGTGTGAATAATGTTTAAGCGACGAACATTTTCATTACCCCTTCTGGGCACTTCTTCAGGTCAATTCTTAAATCAAATAGGTTGGCTATTGACATTTGAAAATAAATTGAATGGTATGGATATTGAATATGGTATGCGCATGTGTTCTCCATAAGATGTTTAAAAAAAGGTCAAATGTCAAATTGAGTTGGAACACAAAGAACTACTGTGCATGCATTTGGCTCAAAATACAATTGAAAATTAAATGTCTTTGTCAAGTATAGCCTGCCACGCCATCAACAGACATATCTCATTAAAATTAACACGTGTGGTTCTGCTGTAGGCTTTAAAAATTTCAATGGCTTCTAACCATTTGAGGTGTTCTGGGGTGGTAAGGATAATTGTGGCTCTGGAGAATGTTCAATGGCCAGCTTATTTGAATTAAGAATTGACCTAAAGAAGTGCCCAGAAGGGGTAACAAAAACGTTCGTCACTTAAACATTATTAACACCAGTTAATTGGTTGGTGTAAGCTTTATTTACATCCAGGTAAGTTTTATTTATTTATTTACATTGTGTAGTTAAACAGATTATTGTTGTTAGAAGACTAAATTAGTACTAAAACAAACTTTTATGGTTGAAATAAAAAATTTTAATGCAACATTTTTACATACTATTCTTTTCTTGTGGTCACATCAATAAATATCAGGTTTCCAACTGCTGCTTATACACCCCCACACCATCACCAACCATATCCATATTTCACAGTTGGTCTAAGATACATTTGATTAAATTCTGCTTTTTTCCAAACTTTATTTGTCCAAACAGGTTGAACTTACTTTCTTCAGACCAAAACCCATGGTTCCAAAATGTAACTGGTTCTCTTGCTTTCTTGCTTTGTTTACTTATGCTTTGTTTCTTCCAAGCAACTACCATGATAATCAGAGTCATGCAATCTATTTCAAACAATCTGAAATATAATACTGACATTATTTTCTATTTTCAATTCATTGACTATTTTAACTATATTTATAATAGCATCGTTTTTTTTATTTCTCCTTGATCACTCTATCTTGTGCTGAATTTGTTTTTGTCTTTCTTCCTCTTCCTGTCTTATTTTCTAAGGATTTAACCTTATTAACAATAATTTTGACAGCAGACTTGGATCTTCCAAGGTTTTCACCAATTTTATCCAAGGATTTCCTATGTTTAAATTGCTAGTAACAATTTCTAATATCATTAGACCATTCATATTTTGTTTGGAGTCGTGTCAAACAAAGAGATGTGAAATCGTAAATTACCTTTCAACAATCTTGCTTTTTCTGTTATTTATGCAAATAACTGCACTGTTCCATTTTTACAAGTGATAAAAACAAAGAAATCAGTACCATGCCATATCTTTTGTATAATTTTCAATAGTATTTTTATCATTGTTTTGTACCTTGTATTTTATTTTAAAATAGAAATAAATGTATATAAACTATATACATTTATACATATACAATGTATAAATTTTAGAAAGTTCTTAATAGTACTTTATTTGTTTCATCTATTAAAAATGAAAATTTGTGGAATGCCAAAAATTTTTTTCGTTAACTGTATATAATACATATAACTAGTGCTGGCAACAAAACCAATTTGGAATAGGCAATAAAATTGTTATCACTGTGCTTATTTTCCATTTTTTATTTTTAGTTGTCAGGCAGTACAGTATGCTTGGATTTAAGATGATTCCACATAGCTGATATCCTATCAAAAATTTCAGTGTAACATTACAATTCATACTGTACATGGCATCAATTTTACCATCCTTTACTTTTGTAGCTATTAAACAATTTAATCAAGTCATTCCTCTCATTTAGAAATATAACTTGTAACAACTATTAACTTATAGGCTAATAGAACAGTTGAGTTTGCAAGTAGAAGTCATAAGATATATGATGAAAGATATTTTCTTAACCCTAATGATTACATATAGTTTGATAAAGGTTGATTAACAATTTGTGATTAAAATATTCTTACAGGAAACTGAATGTGAAACAATAAGATACAAAAAACACACCTTATTGATTTCTAACAGCAGGTTTAATACATTAAAAACATTTTTGACCTATTCATAGATCTTCCTCAGTCAGAATGTACAGAAGTAGAACAAACAAACAGACTGAATACAAAACTAGCATTTTAAAACTGAAAGAGAACAAAATACAAATTAAAAATTTGAAAGTTCTAAATTTAAATGTAAAAATAAAAAAAATTTGATTACCAATATTTAATTTTAAAAATTTAATGCAAAAACAAAAACAGTATTGGATTTCAAAGCCTTATATTATTCCATCAAATTATCTTTGCACTTTTGAGAACTGAAGAACATTTTATTCTGCAACGTAGAAGAACTACATAATCATCACCAGCACATTTTAGAATTTGCTCATTTGACCTGCTATTCTTTTTGCTTCCTCTTTAATAATGAGATGTATATACAGGGTAAGGGTGTCCCAATTGGCAGCCTGATATTGAGAATCCCATGTGAATTGGTTGTATGCAAATTGGAAAAAATAGAGATCAACAAGTTCCAACATCTCATCTTGCTCTATGCCTAAAATGTGGACAACTTTTAACTTAAGGCAAAAGAAACCTGACTTATATCTCCTATTACACAGGTTCAACATTAATCCCTGTGGGCTATGTCTGAAACAAAAAAGAAAGTGCTACTTCCATTTTCTGGACATCATCAATCTTAAAGACTGTAGCATACATCCCAACTGGAAATCAACATACTAACCAATCTTAACATCCAACATAAGTTAATAACACAATAAAGATGAATACTTCTGAAATAAACAAACTTCCTATTCATATACTGCACAAACTGTGTACTTAACTATACCTACAATAATAAGTTTATTTCAGCTTCATTAATTTACTCACTAACATATTTCTAAAACTAATTCTAAATCAAATCCTGTTGGAAATTGGGGACATCTGTATACCTGCATGAATGTCCTAATTTTTAGAATACTTTTTATTGTAATTTTTATTATTATTTCTAATATTAGCATAAAGACAATAAATAATGCTAAATTTATATATTGTTTAAATATTACTTTTCAAATGTAAATAGTTTCCAATGTTAACATTAAAAATTTCAGCTTGTGTTTTATTTAACAATTTTTAAAAATGACAATATAAAATAAAAACATGCAATTAACCCAATAATTAATTTAAATATCAAACAAATAGCCTGATAAAGAATCTGACTGTCCATTTGATATTTATAATATAAAATGTTTACTAATAGAGCTTTGAATATTCTACATTGTACTTCTTTAGAAAAAAATTATTTGGTTTATCTTAGGTTATAAATGATTTTTCTATTGNCATCACTGAAATTCTGTACTTTATTATTTGTTTTTGAACTGAATACTCTTAATTCCAATCAATACATGTATTGAGATTTAATACAGAAGTGGACAGCACGCTGACCATTTAATAGGAGAAACTTTTATCATACAGCGCTTGTTGGTCTAGCGACATTTATTTCTAATTTAACGCCTGCACGATAAAAGTTTCTCCTATTGAGATTTAAACATTCTAATACCTGTTCTTTGTAATTGTTCAAGATGATCAGTGGTATTACAAAAGATATAATAAATCTTGTTTAATATTTTAATTTTAATTGTTATTACATCTCAAAAAGTGGAAATTTAGATGTGTTTTATAAATATAAAAATCAAGTAGAATAATGGTAAATTGTTTGATATAGAATATAAAAGATGAAAATACTTGCCACTTAAATAATCTATCCAATTTTGTAATGTTTCTGGAGGGTTTGTTTCTTTGATATGCTTCAGAGCTTCATCAAGTAAAACATCACCAGTTGGCACATCATTCTTTAGTAAAACTTTGCGCATAAGAAGACTTTTTCGTCTCATTCCTGCCCGTTCAAGTTCTATTCTTCCTCTTAATGCTAATTCAACCAAAATACATCCACGTAAACCAGATGAAATGCAATCATTCCAAAATGAAGTATAACCCTATCAAAACAAATATTTTTTAATAATTTATGGCATAAAAATAATCATAAGCACATATATGAATTTTCATATAGAAATATTAAATAATTTAATAAAGCTCCAGCTTGTGAAGTGTTAACTACAATATAGTTTTCTGCTGTTTTTACAACACTGACTTACTTCAATGAATTAAGATTCAACTTTTTTAATAAGTACTTGCAATTAATATAAAAATTAATTTTCAGTGTAATATCAAATACAAAACTTATTTTATTATTATTACTGGACAAGGGAAATTAATAATAAAATAATGATAAATTGTATTTATTTATTTTTACACTTAATTTATATGATTTGGACAGTTCATAAACACACAATTAAATTATGGGATGTCCACTGAGTATAGAGGTGAATTTCTCAGAAGGACTTCCTTATTAAGACTAAGACTAAGTTGTACCATACACATAGGATTGCCAGGTTTTTTCAGAAAAAAAGAAAAATTTTCTACCACAAATCAAACATTTTATTACATTGTATAGAACATTGTTTACATTAACTTACATGCTATATAATCCTTCTAATATTTCCCTCAAGATTTACTCTTAATGATTTTTCATCCTTATTCTTTCAATCACCATAACCGTGTATTTCTATTAATAGGACTTATCACACTGGTGTATAAGATTACAGCAACACAATCACACAGATTAAAATTATTTTATTTACAATTACCTGTATATTACAATTATTTACAATTACAGGTAATTGTAAATAAAACAATTTTAATCTGTGTGACTGTGTTGCTGTAATCTTATACACCAGTGTGATAAGTCCTATTAATAGAAATACACTGTTATGGTGATTGAAAGAATAATTTGTTTAAATTAAGGACATTGATGCATATTAATTAACAGATTTTTCATCCTGTTTTGCAAATTGGTAAAATTGCTTACATGTGAAAGGGAAACTGTGTACAATCTGTAGTTCCACTTTGATCAGCTTTGAAATGCTCCTGTTTCTAACATCTGTCCATTTATTCTTCATTACTGAAAAAAACCCTTTCTACAAAAGTATTAGAGCCTGGAATAATCAGTAAAAACCCTATGGTTTTATTTATGTTTAGAACACTTTCCTTAGAAAGTTTATAAAAAGTACTGCCACTTATCAACATCACTGCCTTGATAATTTAAACACACTAATAAAACACCCCTACACTCATAAAATTGCTCATACAGCTCATCAAGTTTAACAAATTCTTGTAATTTTAATATACAGGTATCTCTTGTATAACATGGTAGTTATGTTCCAAAAAAGTGCCATGTTATGCAAATCCATATTCTACGAAACAAAGGACTAATGCAAAAAGTAAGGTTCCAAAAGTTAACAAAAGTTACTATTCTTTTTCATTATTAAAATAAATATATTTATAAAAACAATCAACAAATTAACTAACAATCACAATTAAAAGTGCTGTATGATGCATTAATATTAATTTTAATTAAATGAGAGCATTTTCTTTTTACAAAGTATTGTCATTTTCTGAGCTATTTTGTTGATCTTGATCAGAAATATCAGCAGCAACATCATTTTTTAAATATTTTTATCATAATTTTTTATGGATGACAAAATAAAAAATATGTTATTAATTGAAAATTTGTTCTAGAAGGTTACATTTGTTCAGTTGTACAGAGTACAGAGTGATTTTTTTTCCCAGAATTTGTGTTTGAATACTGAATTGTTTGAGTTGAAAACTGTTCAAATACTGAAATACCACTGTATTCTGTCATTTTTACGAATTAAGTAACGATTTGTAGGTAATTAGGTATTATATTTTTAGGTAAAATGTTTAAATAAACTTTATTAAATATGAAGATTAATCTATAAAAAGAAAACACAGTGACAGTCTTAAGGGAAAGGATAAAGTTTGAAAGCAATGATGATGACACCTGGTTGATAGGAATGCTAGGACAAGAAAGAAAAAAAATTGCACTATCAGTTTTTATTAAAGTAAACCAGATGAAAGGCACAAAACAAATTAAAAATTTCAATATTCTAACATCCATGGGCATACTTGATACAACACACATGCTTACTTGAATAAAAAAAAAATATTGAATAACATACAAAATTTCACAATTTTTAAGAGTAAGCTCCTTACACTTAAAAATTGTGAAATTTTGTACAGAGGATTTCCAAAACAGTGTTAGAGTGAAACTAGAAACTATGTTGTATGGAGATTTCCCCAATTTTCGATCCATGTTAGAGTGAAACCATGTTGTATGAGAGATAGCTGTATATCAACAGCATTTTCAAAGACAGTATATTCTTATTGTAATTACAATATTCTGGGAGTTTTAAAATAAAATCTTTTGATGTGTATGGATGCGAGAGGATAAAAAAACAAGAAATCACTTTACAGGCAAAATAAAAATGTAAGCCGTAAAAAGAAAGAAAGAAAAGAAAAAAAACAAGACTTGGTAACCTTACATACTCAAGGCATCTTCAAAATTCAATTAACAAAGCCAATATACAAGGATGCACTTATGTGCATACACTACAGTACTAAGCTATTATCTTTGCTAACATGTGCTTAGATTGAAAGTTATTAATTAAATATTTTAAATTTTATACAAACATTAGTTAAATTAATGTAAAACAGATTTCTACATTAGAATTTAAAAATGAAGCAAACAGGTTAGTTTCAATTTTGTTAATTATTATATTAAATTAAATAATTGTTAAATTTATTATTATAATTATTAGTTAATGTTTGCCTACCTTCAGAAAAAATCAATTTATATTAATTATTAATAGTTAACTCGACTTACACGAACTCGGAGTTACATGATTTTCAAATCTCGTCGATTCGTCTTTTGTTTGAGCACCACGCGACTCTCGATTACTCACTCCCCCCACACTATTGTTCAGCTTACATGTTCGGACGTGTCGTGCGGAATTGACACATAGCTACAATTTATTTTGTGTTATTTATTTCTGTGTTTGTTATATCTACAAAGACCAGAGACTCTATGTGGTGATTTCTTGTAACCATGAACAAATCAAAAGACGAGATAAGATTAATGAGAACATTTATTAGCTTACATACACCCGACTTGGATTTTACACAAATTGCGAAATTATACCCCGACTTACACGGTTATCACTCAGTCCCATCTATCGTGTAAGTTTGGAGTATTACTGTATATGTGTTTTGGAAATGTTGAGTCAAATTAGTCTAGAATCGATTAATTTTATGGAAGAAAACCTTTCAGACAGCCGTAGTCCCTAAACTGCACACATGCCAGGCTGTGATTGGCTCATGTATTTAAGTGACTTGTGAAACACGGAATTCATATAAAACGAAACGTATCTACCATGTTATAGGGGATCTACTGTATATAAGTTTTAACCAACAAAATTACTTATTTGTTAAACTTTTCCAGCTGTTCAAGCAGCTATCATCAGGATACATAAAAGAGATTAAGTATTAGTTAAGGTATATAATAAAGTTAAAATTATTTGGACTAATTGAATTAAAATACAAAAACGCTAAAATATTAAGGAGACCTTGTATATTTTAATTGTGATTAAATGTTTTTGAGACATTTTTTTCTCATCTTCAGATCTCAGCAATTATTTCAAATAATGAAGTTCTTCAAAAATATTCTAATAGCATTATTTCAACATTTGAAGTATAGTAAGTCAGAAACTTTTACTTGAATTTTCATACTATTTGCCACAGAAAATTACCACAAAAACCTTTTAGCAGCAAGGAAATTGACTGTTATGTTGAATTAATTTAAACTTTTTTGCTCATTTAAATGACAATAATCAGGCAATCTAATAGAATCATCAAGCAAAATAATAGAATGTATAAAATGATAAAGTAAAGAACAGTGGGAGAAATGATTTTAAACAACAGTTTGTATGACTTAATATATTATTTCTTTTCATTTTTTTCATATACCCTATATATACACAGTGGTACCTCAAGATACGAAATTAATCTGTTCCGAAACTAAGATCGTATCATGAAAATGTTGTAAGGTGAATCATTTTTCCCCATACGACTACATGTAAAACCAAATAATTCGTTCCAACACGAAAAACACACTCAAATTAAAGCTAAGTAATATCAATACATTGAAAAAAATAACTTTAGTAAGCAAAACACTGAAAAATGCATTTTGTAGTTGTAAATATATAAATAACCATAATAGAATAATTTGATAATAATAGAATAATAAATTGATTAAAAAAATGTAGTTTTATTGATATTTGCACTTTACCTTTGAGGACAGATGACAGTGGAGGTGTAAACTGGTGGCGGAGGAGAGGGAGAAGGGAAATGATACTAAAACTTAACTTACATAACATAATGTAACAATTACTTAAAAATAACTTAGAAAAGATAAAAAATTAGTGTTGTTTTATATATATATATTTTTTAAAANAAACGCTTTTCTAGTGATATTACGACTTCAATATTTGTGGCGGACGGATGTAAAGTCGAATAAAATGACTTAAACTTGATTTTTATTTTTCCATATATTTTTTGACAAATGATGTATAATCAAGAACGACGTAACTCGAGGTATACCTGTATATAGAAAAAATTATATATATACTGTAGAGCGTCGTTTATCCGAAAGTCGGTTATCCAAAAGAATTCCAGTTGGCAAATTTAAATTTTCGCTAGTGCTGTGGCACTGCAATCTTTGGCTATGTCTTGGGCTACTCAAATATTTTCCTTTGTTGATACTAAATTAACTTCTGAAGTATAATATTTTTATTGTTTTTATATTTTTCAATATATTTATTTTGTTTGTACAAAATAAAAAAAATAATTTTTAATGATACAATAGTCTTCGTTAGGCTTAACAACGACGAAAATTCAACGCGAAGTGACACGCAACAGAGAAAAATTTCAACAGGGGATAGGTTAATATATTTTTTCGTAATATTCAATATTTTTGAATATTTTGAATTTATACTTGAATTTCATTGAATATCTGCCAATT